GATCCACCAGTTCGGCTCAGGACGCGACGTTGTGCAGCGCGTGTGGCGCGACAAACGGCAGCGCTTCGAATGTCTCTTGTTCGAGCACCGTACGTCGTGGGTTTGCGCCTGTCACCTCTTTGAACAAGCGCTCAAACAAGGCACTAAAAGGTTTGCCCGGCGGTGATGTGGCACAAAGCCGGCGCACCAACTGCGGATCGAAAAAATAGCCGATATTGGCTGCGCAGTGCTGGTCCCATGCGTGATAGATCGGCAGATTTTGAAATCCATGCCATGCATCTCGATTTCTTCCAGCAACCCCAGCATTGAACCGCAGCACAGCGACATCCGGTTTGCTGGCGATGAAGCGCACCATTGCCAAATCGCCTGGAAAACTCTTGAGCGCGTCCAGAAGTGCCGAGGTGGCTTGAATCGCGGTTGTGTTGAGTCCGATTGCATATGGCTCGATTGCTGCACCCGCTTCGATGTCGTATCGAAAACACAGCGGAGTTGCCCATGCCTGTAGGGCGGTACGTAACCATTGCGACAAAAGCGCACTTGTCGGTCGCCAGCTTCGCACGCGCTGTGCCATCAACGCACCGGCCATGAGTGATAGTGCACTTGCCCCTTCGTCGTCGAACGAAGAGTCTTCAAACAAGATGATGGCCAGGCGCTTGAGAAAGCTTTCGAGACCCGACACCTGTCGACCGATGTCGGGATTGAAAGACATGGGCTTCCCGAGCAACATGCAACTGGTCACCAACAAAACCAGTCGGGTATCGATTGCCCTACACGCTGCCAGGGTTTCTTTCTTTCTCTCCTCTTCTAGTTCCATTAGCTGTCCATCGGTCATCTGAAGCGCTTTCGGAAAAAATTCCGTCACTTGCCTCGATGGAAAGCGAATCAATTTCTGCAAAAGCGACTTGAGTGCAGATGCGGCGTACCGATTCAGTTGCCTTTGGACAAACTGCACCTGCGCACGAACCAACTCAACTCTCGATGATTCGTCGAAACTGCACCACAAGGGAAGGATGTGCGAGTCGATCAAACTGTCAAACTTGGTTACCACCGGAGCACCGATTGGGACGCGAACTGCAATGGGCAGGCGATCCTCTTCACTCGCGCCTTCCACGTTCAGGCCTTCGATTCGAAACAATTGAGTTGATGCTGCTGCCGCTTCCACTGCGTTGCCAAGAGAAAGAGCGCCTCGCGCGAGATCGATTGTCGGGCCTTCGAATGAAGGAATGATTTGAGCATCCGTAGAAATCTTCCACCAACCCTTGATGAAAAAAAGGGTGTGACGACCCCCTTCTGTGCTGCTGTTGGATTCGTTGTTGGCTGGAATCATACGTGCCACATCGACACCTTGCCATTCGCGCGGATTATCTTCCATCAGTTGATCGACATCTGACGGGGAAATGACATCGGATGCCAGTACGCTCGAACCAAGTCCGAGAATTTGAAATCGCACAGAATTGAGGTCCTCGTCGTCTTCGCTTCCCATACGCTCCTTGCCTTGTTCATGTTCCGCCAACCATATGCCGCGCTCGACTTCGGTCATGTTGGCAAAAAAAGCGAGCGTACCAAGTTGACGCAAAAAGGCGCGCCACAGGGCTGGTTCCGCGCGTATCTTGTTCAGCTTGCGCTTCATCGGCAAGATGTTGGATTGACAAACGCGCATCAGTGCGCCTTTGGTCACCGGGTTTGTACCTTCGAGCAAATCACCGATGCGGGCACCAGTGTACGCCACACGCATGTATTCGAGCACACGCGTTCCGCTCACGAACTCTGCTTCTTCCATGCTTGCCGCCGCTGCACGATTTTCCTTTGACGACTTACTTTCATCTTCGCTGCCTTCGGTCGCCGGCGGCAACTTGCGCTTTTTTCGTCTGAGAGCTGTTTGGACGGTAGTGGGTTTTGTTTTTTTCCCCAAGGGTTTTCTTGCCTTTTTTCTTGTGCTAGGATCATCTTCAGAAAAACTGTCTTCTGTGGTCGCAGGTAGAAGCATCTTTCGCTTGGCAGATGCTGCTGCTGGACGACCCGCGATCAGTAAGTCGTCCTCACTGCTACCACGGTCATGGTCGCTGCAGCTGCTGCTGGTCGCCATATGAGTCTTTGAAAGGAGGACGCGAGAGCGCAGATGCGCGCTTGGGTGCCTTACATTTCGACATGTGGGAGGGCCAATGGGCTGCTGGCAGTCGAAGTGCCCAAGTCACTCAGAAAACGAAGGTGGGCTTTTAGGTAGGAGCGTCCAAGGTTTCGGACGCGAACAAGAATTTTTTATGATGTGTGCAACACGAGTGTGATTTTCAGGAGACATGCACTACGGACGTTCGTCGGTCGACGAGTGTTTCGCATGTGCTGGGCGCGCTTTGGCGGGCATGGACGATGTTTGGCATGAAATTCGCTACTACAAAAGCTCGCCACTCAGTTGAGCAAATCATGTATTGACAAGCATTGCCAGAGTTGCATACGTGTAAATTCAACTCGTTCTCGCTTCCCGCGTCATTTCTTCTAGTTCCTCTCCTCTGAAAATCAACCGGTATGCTCGTGTTCCAAACCGAGGGTCGACAAACATGGATGATGGAACAACCGTTGAAACTCTCGCAGTATCCGTGGCACAATCATCCCAAATTAGTAGTTGACGAGCCGTATAACATGAGCCATAAGTGGGGTTTTTTTCTCGTCTTGCTGCAGGAAAAGGAGGATGGTCGGAGCAGGGATTTCTTTCCTCCAGCTCCTGGCAGAAGTGTAACTCGTAGCCCGGTTCATTCCCCGAGACAACAGGAGCAACATAGCCATCAAGGGTTG